CAAAAAAAAAAAAAAAAAAGACTTATTTGGAATAGTGCATAGAATACACTGGAAATTAAAATCTGAAAGAAGAGATCAGGTTAGTAGCTTTCGTCTAAATCTCAGTGTGAGGTGATTCCCCAGATTTTGGGTAGTGACATTGGAAATGGAGAGGAACCTTTTGACCTTCATTAAGAAGGAATTGGTTTATTTATTTACAAAGTAGTTACTTAATATAACATTTATTTCTGATGACCAAAGTTCACTATATGTTTTATATGTTTATATTTTCCCTAAATATTAAACTAATTTTGATAAAGTATACTAATTATGGTATTAGTAATTTCATGGTGTACTTGTGAAAATAGAGACAAGCTATGAATTTTCAAAATCATTCTTATTAGAATATGCTTAAAAAATTGGTGCCATAGTACTTTAAACTTGCTAGTTAACTGTACTCTTTCCTCCCCTTTCAGGTGGATGCCCGGAGCATACCAGTGTTAGCAAAATGGCAAAATTCATATAGCATTAAAGTTGTACTTCAAGAGCTAAGACGTCTAATGATGTCCAAAGAAAATATGAAGCTTCCACAGCCTCCAGAAGGACAAACATACAACAATTAATTTTAGTGGATCTCAAACTTGTCTTAAATCAACAACCTTCTACTCATGTTAATGTCTTGATTAAATATCACAATGCAAAATACCCACACATTAAGTAAAAGAATTCCAGCTGGTAAACATGACCTGGACATTTGTAAGAATATATTTAATATATGTACACCCATTATGTTTTCAGGTAACAGGAGGAAAAATGCAGCACAATTTTTTTTCTCTTGTAAGGCACTGTCATTTAAACATAAACCTGGAGTACTCGAAATAGAATTCAGGTTTACAAGATGAAAGCGTGTGGAGAAGTGTCAGATGGCAGTGGAAGCATGTGTGTTTCTAAAAAGTAAAAATCTCAAGAAAGAAAACAGAAATGGCATGCTTTATCCATCTTGCTTAGTGAAAGAGCTGCAGTTGAAATTGTTTAAATCGTAGCAGGTACAATGAATATTGTCACAAATGTGTTAATTTTTGAAGCGGTGTGGGTGCTGACTACTAGTAGTATCAAAAATATGTTCAGGATTGTTTTGATACCTGTATTTATAATAAAAAATGTTGGGGGGAGTTGATGAATTTCTGTTAAAAGCTGTTCTTGTGTGTTACATGTAACAGACATGGTAAATATTTGTTTACAGTTTTTGTTTAACAAACCATGCATTTAAGTTTAAGTGAAGTCAACAAAAAGGAAATAGGTATATGGATATGTGATTTTGAGATTAAAGTTAGTCTTAAAATGTAAATAAAATGTGGAACGTGTCCTCAGAGACTGTGCCATTTCTATTATGTTGATGTAGTATATGTACAGTACTAAGGAAGCAGAAATTGGAATTATTGTAGCTTTTCTTTTATACACACCCTTTATTATTTATCCTATTTTGTGTACTTCTTTTGAATTAGAATTTGCAGACTGTTTCAGAAAAGAAATTACCTAGTTTAATTTCTTCTTTGGATAAGGAGGAATCCTAGGTATTATATTTTGAACTTGATTTCACCAGAATTAATATTATTAAAAAGATCTTTGCACCCTGGCAATTCTTTCAGAATTATAGGTTGCAAATTATCTAAATATACACCTCATTTTTTAAAAAATCGTAACACCTTTTTTAGTTATTTTTCTGTGAAGCTTTTGGTCAGTAAATAGGGTGAACTAATTGGAGACATTTTCTCTTCCAATTAGTGCTTTTAACACTAATAAGGATAACTTTATTCATTCCATGTACTCTCCACTCTAATAAATATGTAACTCTGGAGTTGAAAATTCATTTATGTTCTGCTTTTACCAAAGTGACGTGAGGCTTTTAGGTAACTTTTACTTCAAAGTACTGGATACAAAGCTTTGTTGAAAATGCTGTTTGATTAATTCACTGAAGAATATAGAAAGGTGATGGCTCCTTTTATTTTGTCAAGCTTAATAATTTGTCTCATACTTTACCCTGCTATATATAGGCCAACCAAAACCTTGATTATCAAATATTAAATTATATCTTCAAACTTTGCTTATAAAGTATTGGCCTCACGGTGGCTCACACCTGTAATCCCAGCACTTTGGGAGGCTGAGGCGGGAGATCACTTGAGGTCAGGAGCTTGAGCCTTGCCAACATGGTGACGGTGGTGGGCGGCTGTAGTCCCAGCTACCCAGGAGGCTGAGGCAGGAGAATTGCTTGAACCTGAGAATCGGAGGTTGCAGTGGGCCAAGATCACGCCACTGCACTCCAGCCTAGCGACAAAGCGCGACTCCGTAAAAAAAAAAAAAAAAGGAAAAATAATGATAATTACTTTTATAGTAGAATAAGTTTCTCAAACATGCCCTGAAAGTCTTATATCAAGCTCATTCAAAGTTAAAGCTTTGAGCTGCCTTTTCTTGGCCAGTGGTACATTAAAGTCACTGATATTTTATGTAAACATTAATTTCAGCATGGCTGCTCTATTTTAATTATCAAAAATGTTTAAAATGCTTTAAGATAACACAGATAACATACACGTACAAGTTAGTGCATATGTAATTTGTTAAATTTGAAATGAATTATTACCTTGAAAAACAGTCTTAAAATTTTTTTAATGGGTTGAAGATTAAATTGAATTATACTGACACTGTAGTCTAATGGTAACTGATGATCTGAATCCAACTCTCTGATAACTTTCTTTCCACTTTGAAAATGTGTCTTGTCGTACATGGAAGCTAGTAATTACTTGAATGCTGTTGGCAGGATGATGATCTGGGTACCTCAGTCTCTTGTCCTCTTTCTTTTCCCCATATCCACCGTTGTGAAGTTGCCAACCCCGCTTCCTCTTCCCCTGCCAAGTACATGTTGTCAGAGTCAGCCCTATAATGTTCATTTCCCCTCTTGTTTGTGGGATTATGGATCTCTGCAGAAATCTGCATGCCAATTAACCCATTTCTAAAGCAGAATCCATTTTGCATGTCACAATCTAGATGTACATGGCAATCTGAGACACACTGGAGACTGTAAGAGGAATTAATACAGAAACACTTAAGTTATAGTAACATTTGGAAGAAATTTTGCCTTTGTTTTGTAAAGTGGCTAAGGTTGTAGGAGTGTATGGTATTACCTTTTAAATGAACTGTAAAATTGCCTTAGAAATTTGTTTAAAAGGCTAGCAAGTGAAACCCTTGAGGATGATCATATATTAATAAAGATTACCAAAAGAAACTTCTTGTCCTATTAGGTCAATGCTATGATTTAATGATTTAAATTACTTAATCAATTTTAAGAATTGATAATTTTAAAAAAAGGTTTCTAGCATTCTAAAGTAATGTCATTTGTTGTAGGTTTATGGGTTTTGGAACTATAGCAATTTGGAACATAAACATTTTGAAGGATAGTCAATGGTATTTAGCCTTGAATGTAAAAATAGAACATTTATTGTTTTATGTTATTAAAAATAATTTATCACACTTAGAATTTAAGGTTTTCCCAGAGTGGATTTGTTTGACTCATGGTTTATTAGCCAAGATTACTTAACAGTATGTTGATTTTAATGTCAATTCCCACTAAATATGTAATATTGACAAATACATATGAAATTAATACTGTTTTGAAAATGTAGAGGACACAGGCGGGAATTATGAATGCTTTTTTCTTAATGGGTTTGGTGTGTGTGGCTTTGGATAGTTCTGGTGCATCATGGAAAGACAGCAGTGAACTGTAGCCTGCTGTCAAAACTATCCACTCTTTTAATGAGCATGTGACTGTATTAGGCACATTTTGAAGAATATAAGTATTGATGATAAAGTATCATGCATAACAGGATTTTGGAGGTATTTCAGGAATTTTATAAGTATGCTTTTTAGGTATCTGTGTAATGTCATGGTATCATTTATTGCTGGGATGGATCGAAAGGCACTGGTTTTGCTTTTCTGATAGGTATCAAAATCATTTTCCGTACCAGCTTGCCTGGCTTTTAATTATTGTCACACACACAAACACGAAATTCAACTCCTCAAGGTTTGGGAAAAGTGTGTATTTTTTTTTTTGTATGTAAAAATAAAAGCGTCATAAAAAGTAATGGATGAATTGTATTATAGGATTGATAGGAGCATTAGTAGTTTTTACCCGATACTGACTTTACTATAAAGTAGGAAATGCATAGGAAGGAATGCCTCTTCCACTAAAATAATATGCCTTATAGAATGGATGAAATCTTACCATAATTCATACTGAAAATGTCTATTTAAAAGTATTGTGGAGTGTTGAAAATAAAGATACCCTATAAGTATTTTCTGAAGAGAAAATTAAGGTGTTTAATGATATAGGAAATAAGTGACAAGCTAAAGTCATTTTGTTGAAATAAAGGAGTTTTGCAAACTGAAGGAGTGAGTTACATGTTTGAAAAAAAAAAAAAAAATCATTGGACCTGAGGAGGTGTTGCTATGGTGTTTATATCCTTAGTAGGATATTTTCATCTAGAAAATTCCTAAGAGTGCTCCATCTCATGTTTAAAAAAGAATTTTTTTTTTTTTAGAGACAGGGTCTTGCTCTGTCACGCAGCTGGAGTGCATTGGTGTGATGATGATTTACTGCACTTTGATATCCTGGGCTCCAGTGATGCTCCTGCCTCAGCTTCCTCAGTAGCTGGGACTACAGGTGCAGGCCAACATGTCTGTTTTTTGTTGTTGTTGTTGTTGTTGTTGTTGATTTTTGTTTTTGTTAGAGACAGGGTCTCACTATATTGTACAGGCTGGTCTCAAACTCTTGGCCTCAAGTGATCTTCCTGCCTTAGCCTCCTAAATGCTGGGATTACGGGCATGAGCCACCATGCCTGGCCAGCATCTCACATTTCTACGTAGTCTATAAGACCATCTCAAAGTTTTTGCTACAGGTTAATTTGTGAAATAAATGATAAAGGCTGATAGATCTTGTTTTATTAGAAGGATTCCAGGGATTACCCTTTCTCAAATGTTGAACTGACCAAATACCATGAAAGTGTTGTGCAGTGATCCATTTGCTGCCAAATATATGGACTTAATGTGTGAATTCTTACTATACAAAAGCAGAATTACTATTCTTAGTTGGCACTAGGAAACCAATAGTCATAAGAAACCTGTGGTCAATAGAAATGCAGATTGTCCGCCTTATCCATAGTGAATACTTTCCATTGCTTGTTCAGTACAGTGGTTGGGTAATGAAAGGCAACATTGTTCAGAGATGACAGGGAGGCCTTTGTGTGTGTGTTTTTTTTTCTTTTGACAAGCATTCCTCCTGCCTCAGCCTCCAGAGCAGGTAAACCACAGGCACACACCACCACACTCAGCTAATTAAAAAAATTGTTTTTGTAGAGATGGTCTTGCTATGTTGTCCAGGCTGGTGTCAAACTCCTGGCCTCAAGCCGTCCTCTTCCCTTGGCCTCCCAAAGTGCTGGGATTACAGGCATGAGTCACCTTGCCCAGCTGTTTGTTTTTTTCCTTTTAATAATAGGTTACAAAGTAATCTCGAAAATTCACATTATTGTGAAATGAGATTTTAACCAGACATCCTCATATTAACATGTAGTAAAATTTGTTTTAATACTGAATGTCTTTTTTAATTGAAATACTGTTATCCATTTATAATTAATAAACATGATACTTGATACTTGGCAAGTGCTTTATTACATTTGATAGCCCTTGAGGCTCATCAGCCTTTAACTTGAAGAACAGATTTTCTCCACAGTCAATAATTGATAAAGAGAAATACATTGTTTTATTCCTTATCAAGCCATATTAGCCAATTAAGTAATGGCAATCAAATGTTCTGATTACATCCATTATTATAAATTGTCTTTTTGTTACTATAATGTAAAAAATTCTGGATAATTGCAATGTTTATTCAGACAAATGTTAAGTGGGTGATGGGCATGTTTTCAGTTATCCTAATACTCAAGTGAAAATAATTGAGTTCACAAGAAGAGTAAATTAATTGTATGGGGTTTTAAATTTTAGTAACATGGATCCCTTTGAGAAGAAAAGTTCCTGTGGACTTTATTGTCTTGAATTATTTCTGTTAAATTATTGTTTAATGCATACATTGTGTGAACTTAGGATCTTAGATCTTTTTTTTTTTTCTTCTTTAGACCTGTACTAAAATTGCAAAATCTTTTTAAAATTATAAAGTAGGCTGGATGCAGTGGCTCATGCCTGTAATCCTAGCACTTTGGGAGGCCAAGGCAGGCAGATCACCTGAGGCCAGGAGTTTGAAACCAGCTTGGCCAACATGGTGAAACCCCATCTCTGCTAAAAATATAAAAATTAGCCAGGCATGGAGGT